ATAAATCAGGCGTGTAATTATAAGTGACAAATTTATGATCGCATTATGAGAAAAGAGAATGGGACCAGAAGAGGTGGAAAGTTTCAAAGATGCAGTCCATATCTTTAAAAACCTCAGATTCAGATGGGCGTGGTGATTATCCCTGCAACCCCAGCTGCCCGGCAGGCTGAAGCAGGAAGATTGCTGGTCTGAGGCTAGTCTATTCTAGAGAATGATTTTGAACGGGGCCCGAGTGAGACCCTGTTGTAAACTAAACTAAAAAGGGCTGAGGGTGGAGCTAAGGGGTTGAGCGCCTGCTTAGCATGAAGCCCTAGGTCACTGGCCGCGTTGGAAAACAAAGTAACATGAACTGAGCTCAAACAAGGCATGCTAGGGTTGGGCATATTAGTTCATAATGAATACTACTATATTTTAAATATTCTTTGAAAATTGTTTCAAATTATATAGTTTGTAGTGTGAATGCTAATTGGTATTAATAAAAACCCATAGCAGGGCAGGGGTGGCGCACGCCTTCAGGTTGCGTTTCACTCATCCTTGCTATTCCTAGTCTAACTGGGCCTGGGCTCAGGCGAAGACCTGCTGATTTGAGTTGAACAAACCGTTATATACACACAAAAGACCGCGACAGAGTGTTAAATATCACTATCCAAGAGTGTCTTAACCATAATCTCAATTATCTGCTAGACTTTTAAGATAGACATTTTTATTACATTTTGTTTACCGATATGTGTGTGTGTGTGTGTGTGTGTGTGTGTGTGTGTGTGTGTGTGACCAGAGGACAAACTTGTAGGCATTCTCTCCTTCCAACATGTGTGACCCAGGGACCAAATTTAAGTTGCTGGCTTGGTGACAGGGACCTTTAATCACGGAGCCATCTTTTGCACAGACTCCAGAATATATGTTATTGTCTTGTCTCCTACCAATATAAGCAGCGAGTTTCCCTGAGTCAGGCTTGTTTTTATCTTGGTTTTGAAGGAAGCTTTACAAGCTAAGGTGCAGCATATACCAGAGAAGCCCCCGCAATGAGGAAACATTCACGTCTTCATTTTTGTTTGAAGCTGACTTTAAAACATGTGGATGCAATTAATTGTCTAATGTTCTCTTCACACACACACACACATGCACACACACACACACACACACTCCCTCACTCCCCCCCCATAAGCACTGTTTTTTTTCTCATTCAATTGTAAGTGTTCAATAAATGTTGAATTGAAACAACATTAAATTAAGGAATAATTTAATTTCTTTATTTCAAGTCCTAAAAGTTTTTCCAGATTACAGCTCAATAATATTAGTGACAATTAGAATAAGAACAAGAACAGATGCTAGCCATGAGAACACAGTAGGAATATCTGATTCATCTCACTTTATGGGTAATTCTAGACCAATACAAATACCAACTTCAAACCCTGAGTGCGCGTTTGTTATCATTGATCCCTCTTTGTGCTAATTAACTTCCTGGAAACGTTACAAAGAAATATTACCTATTTCCAAAGATTACTCTGGTTATCTTAATGTTCCAGTGTTATGAATCTAAATTAAATAAGAGCCAAGTGCATCCTAGGACACTCCTAGTTCCCATCCCAATGAATTTCCTGAGATAAGACAGCTTGGTTCTGTCTTTCCCAAATCCTTGACGAGGGCTCAGCTACATCGGTGGTTGTTGATCTGGGCTGAACATCCCAATGTGCAGATCCCTGTCTGCCACCATCACTAAACCAGTCACCGTCTCCATGGAGATTCAAGGACAGGAGGACAGCGAGAGAGCAGAGCGCGTTCCCTTTTACAAGCCTCTGTTGCTTATGTCCCATTTTATTGTTACCAGGACAAAAGCTCCGGCCCTGTTTTCCTGTCGTTTCCAGAGATGGATGTATTATTTACGGGGGCCCTATTGAGCCCTCTGAGGAAGCCTCCTGCAGCTGCTACCTTTAACCATTACCATTGGCTGCCACCGCCCTCTTGCGGTAGACAGGCGCCTGGTCGTCACAGCTTGGCAGATACCCCACACCGACCCTCATGGCAGTTCTCAAGAGAAGTCTACTTTTATTTCTTCTATGAATCTACGAAATTATGAGCATTCTGATTTGCCTTAGCAATGCTTACAGTGATCTTTAAACTAACTTTAAGCTCTAAGAATTTCAGAGTAAGACTTTGACTATGTACAGGGATGTATTCAGAAAGCATTTATTATGGTATTTTTAGGTCCCATTTTAATCAAACTTTTAATTACACAGGGAATTCATTATGCTGGAAACATCAGGCTATAAAAAGCTTGTTTTTAAATTAAACCTCAATTTGTGGGTCTCTGCTTTAACACTGGATTAATTAAGCTAAATCCTCCGGGAAGCATAGACAATTAGTAAAAACAGGCAAAGCAGAAAGAATGAAGTATTTAACTTCAAGTTTAAAAGCTGAAGGCTTCCTTCAACGACAACGAAGCCAGGACCAGCAGTATTCCTTCTCCATCTGCTCCTATAGTTTGAATTCTCTGTTTCTATTGCTTCACGTTCCCTAAGTCTTTTTTAAATTTAGAATTACTGCTGGCCACGACAAGCTGAGGTCTGTCCAGCAAGGCACACTGGATGGATGTGCAGGCAAGCTGCAGCTGTTCTCACATCAGCACGGCGAACTTTGTGGTGACAGTTGGGCACTTGATGCGTTGCTGTTGATTGGCTGTCTCCCCAGAGGCAGACACCTCCCGAGCCGCGCATGGAACGAGTGGTGTGGTGTTGAACAAGGAGGAAATCCCAGTTTTTGATTTATTACGGCTGAGGTGGAGTTCGTTCCAGGATGAGTCACGAGTCCTCGCAAGCAAACAGTTCTGCTCCCGTCGTGAGCGTTATTGCTGCGCATTCCGGGCTTTTTCACAGCGCAGTCATGAATCAAATGTGTGAATTTCGGTCAGTGTAATTTTTTAAATAATATTTTTATTCATTATTTGGAAATTTCACATCATGAACACCCAGCACACTCACTTCCCAGTCCTCTCAGGTCCACTCAACCCCACCTTTGTGACCTTCCCCCCCAAAAGAGAAGAAAAAGCAAGCAAACAAACAAGTCCAATTTGTGTTGCCCGTATACCCGCTGGAGCATGGTTAAACTCCCGGTGTTCAGCCCTTAAAGAAAGCAGTCCTTCCCACCACCCTACCCCTGCCAGAAGCCGTCAGTAGTGGACAGCTACACTTCAGCATCCTTATCACAATTTTTAAGAGTTCTCTTAGATGGCTTTCTGCTTAGGCTGCTACTGTTTTGAGGGGGCGGGGTTCTCACAGAAGCATTCTATGTCCATCTGTCTCAACTGTGAGTCTGCAGTCATCAATACCGTGGCAGAAAGTCGCTTGCTTGTGGGAGCGTGGATCATGGTTACACATGCTTATGGCCACGGCTCAGATCACAGACATCCACATGGTCTCCAGCATCGGCATGTGCCATGAACCTTAACATGGTCACCAGTGGCAGGTACAGACCATGAATATCAACATGGCCCTCTGCCACATCGTGGGCCATGGACGCCATCATAGCTCTCAGCAGCGGCACGGGCCAAGGACGTCAATGTGGCCTCAGGTGGCAGCACGGCCCATGGACATCATCATAGTTTCAAGCTGCAGCACAGATCACAGACACCCACAAGGCCTTCTGTGGTAACAGACCCTGGCTGCAGAGGGACCACAGACCCAGACATGGCCTCTGTTGGTAGTATGATCCCAGACATCACTACGGCCTCAGGTGGCAGTGCAGGCCACTCACACCCAGATGGCTCAGTCAGTGTAGTTTATCTTTACAGAAATTTATGGTTCAGTGAGATAACTTCCGGCCTTTTGGTGACATACCCCAGGCAAACCTGCGGCCATGCTCCCTTTGTGGCAAGACATTCAAAGAACTGTCTTCACTTTCCCCTTCGTGAACCATCTGTGGCAGTTTGAGTGTAGCTGTCGCCACAAGCTCATTGGGAGTGACACAATTAGGAGGTGCGGCTTTGCTGGAGTAGGTGTGGCCTTAGTGGAGGAAATTATCCCCGTGGAGCTTTGGGTCTCCTATGCTCAAGATACGCCCAGTGTTTCAGACTACTTCCTGTTGCCTGCAGGTCAAGATGTAGGACTCCCAGTTCCTTCTCCAGCACCCTGTCTCCTTATATGCTGCCATGAGCCACCATGATGACAGTGGACTGAACTGTAAACTACCCCATTGAGTGTTTTTCCTTTATAAGAGTTGTTGTGGTTATGATGTCTCTTCACAGCAATTGAAGCCCTAACTAAGACCGAGGGTGGTACCAGGAACTGAGGTTTTGCTGTGATAGGCCTGACCATGTTTTTGTGTGGAGGAATGTGAACTCTGGTACTTTGAGTTAGAAAAGCTGTGGAAAGATTTAAGTGCTGCTCAATGGACCTTATTAACAGGAGCAGGGAGACAGTGGTGCTGAGGATGCTTTAACTGTGGGAGGCTGGCTCAAGAGGATAAGAATATCAATATGTGGACTAGAGATCATTCTTGTGGTATTTCGGTGAAGAATGTGGCTGCTTTTTGCCTTTGTCTGAAGAGT